GCATTTTAAATGTTGTGCAGCTGCAACAAAATAACATAAATAAACCAGAGAGGGGTATTGCCCAGTGGTAACTCGGTAACTTTGTAACTCTGCCAAATTAGGCAATATAGACAACRTTTTGAATAGTATGACTTCTCCAGCTGTCAGCTATGTTTAAGCCAAACATATAATTTGGTAGTTAAAAGTTTGTTTTTAATGTCTTGACAATAAAGATGGTCCATTGGCAAGTTAAAGATCCAAATTATGGCTTAATGATCAAAATGAAACTTATATAATAAAATGGTGGCTTGAATGGATTCCACCATTTTAACAAGTGTTATCGTGTCCCATCGGTGTCTAACCTCTCATTTTGTTTTGTTTAAAGCAGACACCAACTGTGGATATCCGTCCACGCTCAGCCACAGCCATTCAAATGAACAACGCCACACACATGCAAGAGCGAGACGAGGAGTATGGCTATGAATGTCTCGATGGGAAGGACTGCACCAGTTTCTTCTGCTGTTTCGAAGACTGCCGCTCCGGAGCCTGGCGGCATGGCAGGTTGCACATTCGCGTTGCCAAGATAGACTCGTATGCACGTATCTTCTTCCCAACTGCTTTTGCGCTCTTCAATCTGGTCTACTGGGTCTCCTATCTCTATCTTTAGGCGCGGGTATGTATACAGTTTTACCCTACTGTTCATTCCATTCCTGCATATGCTTTGCGCCATGCAGCAAATGACATTTTGAAGAAAGTGACCCACCGAGAAATCCCCAACTTTACTTTTAAATATTTTTATTATTTTTTCCCTTTAAAATTTACTTTTTTTAAACCTGACAAACATTGCAAATGTTGTAGCATTGCATTCAACAGGTGTGAGAAAGTTTATTGTATTTAAAAGCAGTGGTTGTGTGAGAGATAAATATGGTTTTAAGTCTTGTTTTATTTATTTATTTATTTATTTTTTTAAATTCAGTTAGTTGAAATTTTAAACCCTCGCAAAAGCAACGTTTAAAAGAAAAGCTGTTTTTACCACTTCCAAAGGCAATTCATTACAAATACTCACACAGTACATATAAAAGGTGACAAAAAATAAGTMTGGAGTTTTAGAGAAAGATTCAGAATAGCAAATAATTGATGTATCTAAGTCAAGTGAAACAAAATAACAGAAAAATACAAACCAAATAGACAGTTTAAGTAGAACTGCTGAAGGAACACAAAATGAAATAAAACAACACATGTACTCTCAGATCTATTCTTCTGAATCAACATTTTTTTCTTTATTTTTACGTGTTGTTTTGTTTTTAACAAAGACATTAAAATCTAAAGCACTTTAATAAAAGCTATGTTAAACTTTTTTTTTTCATAAACCGTGTTGTTCCAATGTTTTCCGTACACTTTAGTACGATTATATATTGCATCTTTCATGTGTGGACAAAAGTACAATGACACTTTTCATGGATATTGCTTTTTTGTATAGACACTGTATATATTTTATGGTGGTTTACGTTTATTGCATGCACTTTTAAGGCCAAAAATCAACATATTTTATGGTCTTCTACTGTTGGCTATGGAAACAAAAAAATGATAAAATAAACAAATAAACCAATAAGAAATGTTGATTATCATTTAATTAAACATTTTTTCAAGAAATGCAGGAAAATTAAATGTTGAAAATACCCCCACAATACCCTTTTGTGTTCAGATATTGTTCTTTAGCACTTCATTGGGAGGCTCAGAACAGTATTTCAGACAAAAAATAAAATAAAACAGGATTAATTGTTTTCTTTGCAAGCATTAGCTTACAGCACACACAGCACTGACCCTTCATGGCCTCCTGTGTTTGCTCTTAAAAGCACACAATTACATAAAGATGCACCACTGCTGTTTGGTTATATAAGCTGTTACACAGGAAACTGGACTGAAACAAGGAAGATGTTTTAGTATAAAAACAGAWGTTTGTTTGTTTTTTTCTTTTTCCATTACCAAAACAATGGCATTACACCAAAATCCGTTTTCATGTCCAAAATGAAGAGTTCAAACTAATGTTACTATCTATGTGAGTGCAACAATATAAAAACGTTATCCTTTTAAAAAGGAGCAAGCAAAATGTAACAATTAAAATAAAACTGTAGGTTTTAAAGTGAAAAAAAATGCTTACACGTCTATTTTTGTTGTAAGGGCAGGAGTGTGAGCTGCTTTATTGAGTATTTCACATTTATCACTGAGAAGAATTGAGAATGTGTGTCGCTACAAAGAATGGCAGGACAATTTATTTGCAAGGCTCTATTGTTTTGTCTGCGTATTTGATTAAGACTTGCTTGAATGTGTGAGGAAAGCAACTACACCTGTAAGTGTTTGATATGACAACACGGAGCCCCTCAGTCAGTTTTGACAGTCACCAGTATGCAACTAATAGTGCTGCAGTATGATGTGTAAACCCATAAGGACTGGGTGTATATAACATTGTTAATGTATATAAATTATAAATGGAAACAAAACAAAACTTGTCAAGCACTTGACATTTTCTAAAAGGGTATATATTTTGTAATTTTAGCATTGTTATAGTATATCTATATACATTATAATAAACTGATAGTATTATAATGGACTGACCATCAACATTGGAAGGGTACAAGGGATTATTTATGTATTTATTTATTTATGTATTTGTTTGTTGATTGTATATTTTTTAAATGATCTAAATAAAAAAAGTGTTTATGCTCATACAGCCCCTGAAAAGAAACACAGAAAAATGGTATTTATATCAAAAATACACTCTTTGTTCAATGTGACAATGGAACCTATTTATCTTGTGTTTTCTATGTTGTGATTAATGTGCACTACTCTCACAAAGCCTGTCAAACTTATATTTGTTGAGTGACTTGCAACATTATACGTTGTGCTGCTTCTGAGTGGTAGATTTTATTTAGTCAAATCATGATAAGAAAAAAAATCTAAAAGTATTGTTTAGCCACTAAAGAAAACATTTGTTTAATATCAGTTCTCACCTCCCTACCCAACAAAGGTTTGCTTTAGTTCATCTATAATAAATTTTAAAAAATCTGTAATGTAACATTTTTTTGAAAAGCATACACATTTGTTAAATTCTCATACTTCAAAAAAATGGTTTCCCGTTTTGTAATTAAAAGTAATCCTCCCGTGCTGCAAAGTGACCACTTATTTTCCTGAACATTTCTTCAATGTACGTGTTTCACACATCTTTAGGCAAAATGAGATGGTCAGTAGCAGCATAGACTGGTCATTATCAGTATTCAGTAGTTGAAAACTGTAGTAGAGTCATTGCATAATGTGCCAAACCTGTACCTGCAACCAAGAATATGAAAGGG